CCAATCGTCCCCCTTCTCAATTGCATGAGAAAGCCTCGCCTCTTGTAGGCGACTGTTTTTCTCTTCTGTGTCTAGAGAAGCATGGCCAGAAGAGCTAGACTCGGATTCGTCCTCTGACGAGTCCGAAGAGGACGACTTCTCCACTCTCCCGGAGGGGCCCGCCTCCTCTCCTTTAAAAGGAGCAGGAGAGAATGTAGAATTGTCAACTGTAAAATGGGAAGGGGTTACTTTGACTCCTCCCTCAGAACTGCCGGCTTTCAAGCCGCTTTGTTTCACTTCCACATCTGGCGCCTGGTCAGATGTTTCACTAATCGGCACCCTGTGGGAGGAGCCGTCTGAGTTTGAGATCCTGGCAGTCTTTTTTGTTCTGGCCATCATGCTCTGCAGAGACACAGAATCAGTCGGACTTTGTATAAAGGGCAGAGATGGGTCCAGAAAAGGGCAGGCGGCACTCCTAGTCCTAGATTCAGCCGTCCCCGGTGACCGGCTGATCACTAACCTAGGTCGTGTCGTGTGCTTCCGTGGTGCCATTTCAAAAAAGAATAAAGTAAAGAGAAAATTAAGAGTAAGAGAACCGACGGTTACCTGAACGAGTGACGATTGATGAAGTTCTGAAAATCCTTTGCAGTCGGCTTGTCAGAGCAGGCGGTAGGCAGAAAGGGTCCAAAATGTCAGAGCAAGTTCAGGGGTCCGAATGTTCTCTCACAAAGTTTTCAAGTGTGAAAACGACCGAAGTCAATACTCCTTTATATAGGCGAACTGAGAAGGCAAAGGGTCACTTCTAGAATTCAAAATTTTGGCGGGAGAATCTCTCGGCCTCTCGCCGAGTGACACCTGTAGCAGGCCGTCGCCTGTTATAGGGCGACACCTGTCACAGGTAACACGTGACCAGTCACGTGCCACCTGTGAGGGGAAAATGATTTGGGGATTTTGCTCCCACCAATCGGAATGCGCCACGTGGGCCAATCAGGTCCTGCCAAGTGTCCCCCAGTTGGACCTCTCAGGGCTTGCCACGTGGCACACGCTTATTCGTCCACCCTGGACTTTTTATGTCATGACACGTGGCATACTCCATGCCTAATGGAGAAGCCGGTCACCTAGGCCCAACTTCCGAGGGAAGCCCAATCAGCCCAAGGTTAACCTAAACCTAGATTGGCACGTTTCCCGAGGTTATAAATACCTCCCTTAATCCTCATTAAGGGAGATTACGCAGATTACACACATTAAACATTCTCACCTAGAGAGACCCAATCACTTTAATTTCCGCATTAATTACTCCTTAATCAAGTACTAACTTGACCGTCGGAGGCGGATCTCCAATCATCCAGAGCATCCGTTTGTTTTGCAGGTACAGGCGTCCGGTTCCAGTCTCGGAATTGTAACTCTCCCGCAGGACATCAGAAAACCCCGAAACAGTCGTCCTTCCAAGGAGGGAGATCTTTGCCTTTAACCATGAAGGGGGAAAGGTTGAAATGATTACAAATCTCCTTAACCTCCTTGTCCTCGGTCTTGATCAAGACGAACCTGCACTTCCAATCCTTATACTTATTTTCTTTACGTCGGCAAGTGACATATTTCTTCTGAGGGGCCAACTTAAATTGGTCCCAGAATTTGCGATCATAGATAAAACATGCTGGCAAAGGCCAAAAAATATGGCCTAACACCGACAAATTCACATGCAGCAATATATCCAAGCACATTCAGCAAGAGTTCGGTGCAAGTTGGCAAATGGCGATCTTATATTCGCTAAGTATACTGAGAATCAGAGGGTGAAAGGGAGCCCTAAGGCCGAGGTCAATGCACGTCCTGCTCAGCCAGGCGGTCCAGATACCGCATGAGACTGATGCATTCGTTGGTGTGATGACCAACATCTTCATGATAATCACAGAATTTTTCTTGGTTCCGGTTGCTTGCAGAACCCTTCATGTGGACCGGCTTCTCAATTGAGATCCGTCCCTTGATTTCCTTTAGGATAGCTTGGCTATCCTTGTTAAACGCATACTTTGGGGAGTATGGTTTGAATTCTTTTTTCTTCTTCTGGGCCGGCTGTTTAGAGGAATCAGCCGCCTAGACCTCTTTTCTTTTCTTCTCATCTTTGTTCGACAACTGTTTCTATCGCCCTTCTTTTTTGTCGAACCTTTTCCCGTCCGACTGTTTTGTACTACAAAGATCAGTCGCCTGTATATACGCTTCCGCTTCAATCAAGGCCTCTTGAAGAGTCGCCACCCTCTTTCGGACCAAATCAAATTTAAATGTCGATCCGTCTTTGAGGCCTCTGAAAAAGTCAGTATAGGCTACCTCATCCGGTAACCCTTGAATCTGTATTCTCATCAGGTTAAACCGCCTGATGTAAGAACGAAGCCCCTCCTTCTCGCCCTGCTGAATCGTTCCTAAATCAAGGGTCGTCTTCTTCGCAGGTATGTTCATGGCAAAGTTGGATGTGAATAAGTAAGCAAGCGTCCTGAAATTATTCACACAACCAGTCGGCAGGTTGCCGAACCATTGTTGTGCGATTCCTTTGAGAGTCGCTGGAAAACACTTGCACCAGGTGGGATCATCCAACCCTTGAAGGTACATCAGGTTGGTGAATTCCATCAAATGGTCTTCTGGGTTAGTAGTGCCGTCATAGGCGCCTACTAATACATTTTTCACTTTGGCCGGCTGAGCGGCTTCAGCAATTTCCTTGGAGAAGGTCGACGGCTGTTCCCCAAGTCTAAGCAACCGTAGCTGCCAGTCCATAGGTTGGATATTCTTTGCTGCATGCCCACCAAACAGAGGTGGCTGCAAAAAATATTGTTGTTGCGGTACAAATGGTAAGTTTGGTACCGCCTGGTCACTATGAAAGCCGGACTGACGGGAGGTACCGCCTGACTGACTCTCATGATGCGACTGAGTATGCCTCATCGAGGTATTGCGCAGACTGTCTTGGAAGTTTGAAGTAGAGGCCGACTCAAACAATCGGTCGTTCTTCTTCTGTTCTAGCAATAACCGAGCATCTGTGTATGTTTTCTTCGACCCATCCGCCTGAATATGACGAACAGGTTTCCTCTTTCCTGGAGTACGAAAGCGATATTTTGTGAAATCAAGGGCAGGCGGCTCCCACTTCCTAGAGTTAGGATGAGGGGTCGCCTCTCGCCCTTGAACTGGCTTCCTCTTCCCTGAAGTGGAAGGTTTCTTAGCCGACTGTTCCTTGGCCAGAGCAGGCTTCTTGTTGAGCAACTCTTGAATCTCTCCCTTGAAGCCCCTCATGAAGGTCATGAGTTCGTTCCTTGTAATGGGAGCAGACCCATCAGTCGGCTGCTGCTGAACAGGCGGTGCGCCTGCTGGATCACTGAGTCCAGTTTGAAGATGTTCCCGTTCCCTCCTTTCGGTATGGCGGGTGCGTCGGGCCCTTAGGGTCCCGTCTGAAGCTATGTGAGCTTCAACTTCAAATTCTTCCTCAGTATCATGGTCCGACTGAACTTGAGGGTCGTCTAGGGGACGCCTCTCTTTAGGAGTCGGTACAGACGTGGATGCCATCTCAGAAGTACTCTCCCCACAGACGGCGCCAAAATGTTTCGGGGTTTTCTGATGTCCTGCGGGAGAGTTACAATTCCGAGACTGGAACCGGACGCCTGTACCTGCAAAACAAACGGATGCTCCGGATGATTGGAGATCCGCCTCCGACGGTCAAGTTAGTACTTGATTAAGGAGTAATAAATGCGGAAATAAAGGTGATTGGGTCTCTCTAGGTGAGAGTGTTTAATGTGCGTTTTTGCCCCTTAATGAGGATTAAGGGAGGTATTTATAACCCTGGAAAACGTGCCAATCCTAGGTTTAGGTTAACCTTGGGCTGATTGGGCTTCCCTTGGAAGTTGGGCCTAGGTGGCCGGTTTCTCCATTAGGCACGGAGGATGCCACGTGTCATGACATAATAGGTCCAAGGTGGACGAATAGGCGTGTGCCACGTGGCAAGCCCTGACAGTTCCAACTGGGGGACACTTGGCAGGACCTGATTGGCCCACGTGGCGCATTCCGATTGATGGGTGCAAAATCCCCTAATCAGTTTGCATTCTAGAAAATTGAGGGAAAAGATGATGATAAAATGGATTTTTTAGGTGAATTTAATGAGTTAGTTGGGGGAATGAATTAATTTTTGTGGGAGTACTTATTTTAATCTAGTTAGATTAAGGGTGTTAATAACCTTAGTTTAGTTGTCTAAGTAAGTTTTATAGAAATTTAGTAAGGGTAAAATAGTAATTTCATTCAAAAAAATTTACTTAAAAAGAAAAGAATTGAAAAGTTACATCTAATATAAAGCATCCGTTATTGACAAAAGTTACATCTAATATAATCCGGAGGTAGTAGTTAGAGTCTAAGAAATCCTCCTCAGTATATATATAATATATATATATATATTTGGAAGCAAGTACATCAATATAACTAATAAGAATTATAACCAAGTACAATTTCGGTAGATTGATTAGGAACATGTTACTTTTTAAAAGTAATTCTCGTGGGAAATTGCCATTGTTTATTGAAATACCTTTTATAATTCTATTCCAATTTTCATGATTAACCAAGAACTTCAGGATAAAGCCATGGAAGAATGCACAGTACAGTAATAAACAAGTCTACAAAAACACGTGTAATCATAAATTCAACGAGGATGAGAGCTACTGAGATTGATGGATATACTCCAATTCAGGATAAAGGAGTAAAGTATACTTGTAAATGTAAAACTGCTAGTTTCTATACCTTTTTAGTTCTTGAGAATGCATGCCTTCAGTTGACAGGTACATGTATTTCATACAGCTATGGCTGATGTGCTCGAAATATTTTTACTTTTTTATAAAAAAAAACCTCTTCTTTCGTCATCGTTCTTATTCTACTGTAAAGTTGTGAGTGACCATCAAGAGACCACAGAGCGATTGGAAAAAAGAAAAAAGTTGAACAGGATTGTCTTGAAGGGCACAAGAGTTCAACATAAAAGAATTTGTAATTTTGTAAAACAATAATCATTCAAAGAAAACACATTAATACAATAGCATGATGCCAGATTCCACATCCTTCTGATGTGAAATTATAAGTCTGGTTTTTCTAATAATACAAGTGTACAATACAGAATTAGAAGAAATTAAACTACACTAGAACCAAAAAGTGAAGGTAAATATCAGTACATGATATTCTACCTTTCTAATAACTTGCCATGATCAATTTTTTTTCATGGGGATTTTGTCTTGCTCTTTTTCTTTCGTGAAGCAAAACTACTTGGACCAATTTCTATCGACATCCTCTTTGCCCTGCAAGGAATGGTATACTAGTAAGTACGCAGATATTCTGAGTGACTTGACTGAACTGACATACAGCAAGTGCCAAAAGATACCTTGTAGAAAGTTCAGCAGACATATTGTGCTCCTCTTCATTCTCTACACCTGAGAAAAGGAGGAAATGTCGCAAGTCAAAATGAGTAGTAGTTTCGAAGTGATATTTGCTGAGCAAGTTTCCAAAGAAGATATAGCATGTTAATGTTAAAAATTTCAACAAGTACTAAGGGAAAACCAATTATCATTCATTCTAACAACAATCTTTCCTCTCCAGAATTAAGAGTTAAAACATAGATAAACCAAGAACCCTGTTTTGCCTCTATAATAAGTGAGGAGATATATATGAAGCATGAAACAATATTAAGGAATCCACAAGTTCAATATATGTCCATGGTAAACCAGATATTATCACAGTTCAATATAAGGCAGATGTTGAGATTTCAGAGACAAGCAAAGAGTTAAAATAGTTTGCACAAATATCCAATTCCGAAACTATGGAGAGGCATAACAGCTACAAAAAGTAGTCATATGTCTCCTTTCTGATTCACATCCTCCTATCCTCCTTTTTTTTTTTAGCACGCACACATGCACATACACATGCGTGTGTGCATGCATACACCCTCATTCGCGCGCACACACACATATTACAATCTTTCACATTCTCATCATCTTTCATTTAATCATTCAATGTCTTTCCATGTACGGATGTAACTACGTTCACTTAATCTTCCTCTTTCCAAAGAAATATATGGGCCCAATGAATCTGCTTTACAAACATCATAATGCAGTGATGCACACATGCAATTCTCTATCAAGCTTTCCAATCATAATATTTTGAAATAAAATAGTTAGAGGAAAATATAAATTGATTCATTACATAGTAATCCACTTAACTTTTATACTTCAGCCCATGAGTAGTAGTACAGGCCAAAAAAAAACTATAGATTAAAACCAATTTCTATAAATAGAGAGAATTCTTATCTCCAAAAAAACAGCCACAGCTTTTCTCTCCAAACCAATCAGCCAGCCTTAGAAAGTACAGCATAATATCATCCAATGTTGGCAATGTATCATACAAAATATTGACATCATCTTTATTAAAAAAAACCAGGGACAGTAAAATCACGAATAGTTGAAGGTTGAAACACACAATTGACAAAAAGCCAACCATTAAATGAGAGAAAATAAGGACAAATAGAAAAATGACATAAAAAAGGCAAAATTAGCTAGAACAATACCAACTAATAGGTCAGAGGGGCACAACATTTAACTGGAACAATGCACTACACAACTCGATTTATGGAGGGTGGGTGCAAATCGTAGCAGAAAATGAGATCCGGCGATCGGAAATTCTATTAGAGTTACAAAATTGTCATTTTTTAATATATATTATTTTTGTACCTCATTCAAAAAGCCCTCAGGGTCGTATATAAGGAGTCAAAAGTAAAAATATTAAGTGAATATTAACATCAATTACAACAGCCGACACTTAACATTATCATGCAATTCTAAATAAATATTAACTTACAAAAGATATTAGAGGCTAAGATGTAGTCCTAAGGGCTACATACATCATTACCCTTAATATAAATGTAAAGAAAGTTTTAAAAAAATGTCGATTTCTTAACTCCGATAGAATTTTTGACCCCAAATTTGATTTTATGCAAAAATGTCCACCCACCCTTCACAAGTAGTGCAGTGCATTGCTCCACTTAAAGGTACTGGGTGCATCTGCCTTTAGTTGGTGTTGTTTCAACCAATTTTGCCTTAAAAATATGAGAACGAGAGAAGAAAGTAGTTTACCACATTCTAGTTTTATCAATTCATAATGAGGAAGAACCTCTAGTGAGCAAAATATATTATCCTCCCATAAATCAAAATTTGTTTAGAAAATGGTCATGGTCAAATTTTTTTACCTAATGTGAGGAGTAAGGGAAGAAAAAACAACAATAAACAAGATTGAACATATCAAAGGTGCGACAATATAATGAGTGCCAAACAAGTTCATGTGGTTTCTCCCACAGTCGTGAATCCCAACCCCACCCGCCGCCATCTCCCCCCCCCCCCCAAAAAAAAAAAAAAAAAAAAAAAGTGTAAATCCTTCTCTCAAATGAGCTCTCAAAGTGTTTAACTCTAACCTAATTTCAGGGTACAACTATACTCTCCAACATAACACACAAACCACTGATCTCCGGGTCGGACCTCCATACATAGAGTATGGAAACCCTAGACTCCTAATCGGCTTAGGAAACTATTCAAGCATCGACCAAGATCTAGAAAACAAGAGTTAGAAAACTACATCTTATTTTACTAAAATAATTGACAAATTAGGAAAATAAATGCCCAAGAATCCTAAGAATAAGAAGACTACAATTAAATTCAAACGCGGAAGATCACTTTGTAGCAAAGGGTACTTAGCCGTGTATAAGACCCACACAACCGTCTATCAGCTCTTTAACTTAACCTTATACTAACAGCTGAGGAACACAACCACCTTGTTATTCTCTCCTCCGCTTTTCTCTCATTTCTCTTCACCTTCTCTTTGTAGCTTCTTCATAAATCGAACCATAACCAAAACCCACAATTGGGTTGGGCTTGCAAACTAACACCTATTCGCCTATTGAGATGTTAGTCACCTTCTTATAACCCTATGTAAAAATCACTGAAAGGACCCTGGATATTTCTCCATGCAGTTTATCCATCATTTATCAATCTTTTAAAAAATCCAGCAATAACTTCCCGTCAAAAAAAATAAAGAAAAAAATCCCAGCAAAACTTGAACATTATCTAAAAGTAGACCTCCAACAAGCCCAAATTTCTTATACAGTAAAAAAGTTTAGATTACCATTACCTCAATACAGGAAGAAGCATTTAGTTTGATCAACATAATCAGTAGTCAAAAAGCAAAAGTCATGGTGCAGCTAAGTATTTTGAAACGGAGGAAGTATTAAATAAGAGGCTCCACATTCATGTAGAATAGGTGAGGAATGGAAAGATTAGAGGAGTCAGGAAGTGAAAGAACAATCGGGAGAGAGAGAGAGAGAGAGAGAGAGAGAGACGTACAAGATTTTATGGCAAATGGAGACAGAACCAGTCCCTCTGAAACTGAAGGGGTTTAAACTAGATTAAGGGACAAAGAAGAAAACAGATAAGGGAGACATGGTAATTCCTCTGCACTTACAAGTAAGCTCAATCATGGTTTGGCACAATATTTAATTTTTCTGTTGAATAATGTTGATGAGAAAGTAATATGCTGAAGCTACATGTTAATGAGAGAGTAAAATAATGGAATCTTCAAAGAAATGGAGCATTCTTTAAGGGATATACTTGAAAGAAAAATGATACATACAGAGTTAGAGACTGAGGGCATATAACAATATCAAGGAAAGACGTCTTTCTTATGACTTTACATGTCTAATTATAAGAAACAGAATTTGCACAATTTGAGACAATCGAAGGACCGGCCATTAGCTACAAAAAGAATTCTATCAGGATGTTGGCCATATAAGCTAAGATCTATGATAGTACAGATTCGGAATGAAACCTATTTCATTGAAGCTGAAGAATCGAGGAATTTGTATTACAGATTCAATTGTCTATTGTCCAGGCTTTGGTCGTTCAATTAAAAGTTTTACCCTGTAATGTAAGTGATTTGAACCTGCCTGGAGTGAGCTATTGGTTTGATCTGATCTAGTAAGCAAGCATTATTCTGTAAGCCTTCATGAAGCATTGTAGCAAAGAGAAAGCATCAAATCTGGTGGATGGAGAATAGGTGAGTGGACTAAGACATTTTGGCTTACATGTGAAAATTTCCATGTGGACTTACATATCTGCCTAGCTATGATTTGTACAAGCTAGTTCAAGGTGAAATCCCAGACGATTATCTTACCTCCTTTTTCCCATGAAACTAAATTTTTCTAGAATAATCTATAAAGCCTACTCTTGAAATTCTTTAATATATCATACAAAAAAAAAAAAAAAAAAAAAAAAAAAAAAAACGGGGAAACTACTAAATTAACTAACATGAAATCTATTTTCTGCAATGGACTCAAGATTGATTAATTTTTACTCGTGCAAATAACACAGAAAATAGAGTTTTTCTCTTTTTAGTTTTTTTTTTTTTTTTTTTTTTTTTAATGTTTTTTTTGCTTTCAACTGCAAAGGTTTAGTAATCAGTTGTTTGAGGCTACCACTCTCCAAGGTAGTGAGTAGGTCACAACTCCCCTAAAATTCTCTCACCATTTGCCTGCCTAATCATTTCTTTTCTCTCCCTATTAATTTACATGGTTTCAATCCCTAGGATGATTCTAGACTTGAACTTTTGTTTCATGTGTACAAGTGGCCTCTCTCGTTTCATTGCATATTCTCACTTATTTATACTAAAGTTAATGACTACTAAAAATATTAGACTTCCTGTAACGCCCCTCCCCTAGTTCGGTTCATTACATTTTTGCCATCCCATAATACTCTCAACACTTGCATTGAGCGCTGATATTAAGAATAATTGGCAAAAGCATAAAAGAAAACAGTGGTAGTGCGACGAGAAGGAAAAAGAACGAAAAAGTATTGGGTAGGGCTGGATACAGAATGGAGATAAAAAAAATAATATAAAAAATAAAAATAAAAAAATAAAAAAGGAGAAATTATATAGTAATTATCAACTAAAACTTAAGGATATGCAAAATTTAATTCAGAACAGCCAAATGCCCTGAAGTTTATTGTGTGATGGTCTGATGGAGAAAGAATTAAGTTGTATAAAATTTACTTATAGTTTCCCAAGTAAGCCCATTTTCATCATAGTCGGTTCCCCATCAAATGTGCTACAGCAAGCTGCACACATATTACACCTAATTTCTTATCATTTCTGCATTAAGAAATATTTCAAAGAGAGCACCTCAAGTAGCACAATCTTAGGCACTCCAAAACATAAATTCTCGGCAGAATAGGCTTGAAAGATAACCACATAGATGGGACCAAAATGATCTAATGCCACTATGGTTCCTAGAAGAACTGGATAGATGAACATCACAAACATTAGAGTCTGCGTTGTTAGATAGGAAGGTCACTTTTCTTTCCATATGGCAGTCACATGATTCCTCTCACAAGGTAAATCTTCCTTTAAAACGATTTGTCAATATACAACACCACGCAATTGCTAAAGTAATACAAAGGCAGGAAAAGCAAAGCTATATGTTGACAGATCACAGCTCATGTGATTAGATTGAAGCAAACCTCTTTTGATCAAGTGTTGACCAGAACATTGAGTCATGAACAAAATCGTGCTTTGAGCTACTCATCACAGTTCACAATTACAATTAAACTACTCCCTCCGTCACAAAAAAGATATAAATATTTTATTATCACCCATTTTGTGTACCCACAAAGCTTGAAATATTCTATTAAAAGCCTAATATATGTACTTCCAGAGAGCTCTAAATATTACTTCCTCCGTTTCTATTTGGTTGACAGGTTCAATTTAGTCACACATATTAAGGAAGGGAGAGAGAATGAGAGAGAATGATAAAGTAAGTAGGGTACACTAATAAATGGAAAGTATAAAACATACCCAAAAAGGAAACGTGTCAACTAAAAATAAACTTTCTAAAAAGGAATATGTGTCAACTAAAACAAAAAACGGAGGTAAGTATATCTTAGTAGCACAAAGAATATTTAGTGCCATGTTAAGTGTCACTGAATATATGCACCCCATACAAAATATAGATCCGTGATATGCGAAAAATAATCACCTAAAATATCTGTAACCATTTTAAAACCATTCTAAAAAGCCTAACGCGACCCAAAAAACTCTGAATATTTTATTAAATTAAGGAAATACTTCATATTAGAATGGATGGTTATTGATAAATTGCACAAAATAAATTCAAACAAAATTTAAGACAACAAAAATGTATAGAGTTGTTATCTAATGATGTAAATAATTATTTAACCTTCAGCTTCAGAAGAAAAGGTACCTTCCCCATCATCTTCTTCATGTTGATCGCCTGATTCGGAATCTGATCCCCACCTATCTCCCCCATCATCAAAGTCCCAACGCTCGCCTTCAGGCGGTATCCAGAATTCAAGTTCCTCAGAATCAGTATCAACCGTTGAATCTCTCATCTCAGAAACTATCTCTTCCTTCTTCTTCTCCTTCATCTTTTTCTTGTCCTTCTTTTTCTTATCTGAACCATTTTCCTTCCCCTTTAACCCTCCCTTTCCCTGTTTTTCACCTTTCATTTCAACATCTCCATTACCAGACAATTTATCAGCTTCCATTTGCTCTACAAATAGGTGGAAAAAACACAAAATTCATCATAAAATTGCCATTAGCACAGCTCAAATATGTGATTAATAATTTGAAGATAGTCACACATAAAACACAATGTGGCTTATTAAGAAGACAAACCGAGTTTATTGAAGAATCGCTTTCCGTTTATATGTTTCCATATATGTTCTTCAGACTTGTTTACAGTATCGCCAGTTAATTTACAGATTACCTTAGAGCTGTACAAAACAATATTTGTATTCATTCAGATTTTAACCAAACAGCAAATTCTATCAAATATTTAATTCACAATCTCAATCAAACAAGACCGACAGATATAAAAAAATTAATCCTATAGTATGCTCTTCCAATTTGTTTATAGCATCACCAATCAATATCCAATGAGCTCAGAGTTGTACCAAACAAATCCATATTCATTAACTAATCAATTTGAAAATTCACACCTATTTTCATGCAAACATTACTCAAAAATTAAAAAATAAATAAATAAATTATTAATCATGTATGCTATTCAAATTTGATTATAGTTTCACCCATAAATAAACTGATACACAAACTATACCAAACAATTTAATTATCAAATTCTTCTATCAAATAAATTTTACCCAAAAATCAATTACAAAAATTAAACTTAAAAACAACTATAAATCATTAGTTAGAACACCCAGAAATTTTTAACAGAAATTTTACAAAAAAAAAGGTGGGGAAAGAAACCTATTGAGAGGGTCTTGCTTGAACATGTTGAGAGGGGGTTTGCTATGAGTCAAAGCGAAGTCAATGAGGCCAATACGACATCGTTTACTCTGAGAATAAGAGTCCTGAGCGTGGGCAGGCAACTCATGGCCAGTTTCGACACATTTGAAACGGCCATTATCGAGTGGTTGGAAAGTGGGTGAGCCTAATAGATTGTTGCCTTCCTTCACAACGCCATTACTCTTACTTGGTTTCTCCTCTAAGGTCGCCATTGTTGTAGCTTCTTCGTCTTTCACTTCTAGGTTTTCCGCTCGACCTTACTTTAGGAAGAAAAATAACGCGGAGGACTTCTACAAGTAGGAATTACGAAAATTACTTTTTTTTTTTTTTTTTTTTTTTTAATAGAACGCAAATTACATTTTAATATACGGAGGAATTACGAAAATTACTTTTTTTTTTTTTAATAGAACGCAAATTATTGATTATTACATATCCAACAAGACCCTACTTGTCTACTTGATATAATTTTTCTTTAAAAATTATCATACAAATAAGGTTAAAATTTGGTCAAATAATTAAGATAATCCGATTAGGTTAGATGAGACTATACCAGATCATATTATATCGGCAAAAACAAAGTGAACTAAACACTACGGTACCATACCCTTCTGCTTTTAGAAGGCCCAAAGGACATTAATTTTAATTGATTAATGCCATCTGGCATCTACAGTTGATGATTAACGACAAAAAAAAATAAATTTAACAAAATCAAACAATAATTAACTTGGAAAGGACTAAGAATCCAAATACATAGATATAACAATTTGGCACATTCTCGATTCGTTGTCTCATACAACTTTGTGACTGGATTCGTCGTCGTTTCGTAATTTTTTGAGGAAGAAAATTCTTGTGATAATTTTATATCCTAAGTCAGAATAATCAATATCAACCGTAGCCCCGCATAATCTGATACTATTCTAAGCGCAGTGAGCACCTTGTCTTTCGAAGGAACAAAAACTCTTTCTATGGAGACAAGTTCCTCTCGAGCGGAGAAATAATTATTATAAGCTAAAAACAAACAAAAAAGCAAAAAAATTTAAATTGGGGCTTTCCACCAGCAATATCTGTTAGAAGCTGTTTAGGGTAAAAATACCCCTAAGACACGTGGCCCAATAAAGGCTTGCCACGTGTCAAGTTTGCAACGGTCAGCAAAGGCTCAATCCCATTGTGACACGTGTCATTGTACCCTAAATAAGGTACAGCTCTCCCCTACTATAAATAGTAAGGGCGGACCTCATTTATGGGGATCGAATCATTTTCCAACCACCAACCAAACACAAATCCCCTTGCAAACACTCTCAAATGGAGAAGCATTTATTGTCTTATTTCCTCATTAAGAAAGATACTAACTTAATCTTCGGAGGCGGAACACCCCAGCCCCAGCCGGAGTTTTCCGTTACTTGTGCAGGTACAGGCAAAGGAAGGAGCATACTAGGAAATTGTAACTCTCCCGTAGGACACATAAAAAACCCCCCAAACATCTGGCGCCGTCTGTGGGAAGAGTACTTTCTAGGTGACTTTAGAACCTGTATTGCCGGGTAGAGGTAGCCAACCTGCTGGTGAGGCTGAGGTCCACTCGGACCAAGATACAGCCGACAACTATGAGGTTGAAACTTACACAGTCGCGTTTAGAACCAAGCATACTCGTTCCAAAGACAAAAGGGAACGGGCAGAGCAGCAGGCAGGCCCAAACCATCCCATCAGGGGACTGCTTGGGTTAACTCCTGCTTCAGAAGGGGCCACCCAAGTCTCCAGGGATGAACTCATGAACATGATGATGAGTTTCAAAGGGGAAATCAAAGGCCTTCTAGATAACGCAGCCGGCCCCCGTAAGGGTCAGGCGAAAGAAAGGCGTCTTGGAAAAAGACGGCCAAGACAGTGAAGGGTAGAGCATCTACCCCACACCCGAAGTCAAAAGTGCCGGCTAGGCCCATTGATTTCTCAAAGATTCACACTCCCATGGATGGAGCCAGGAAACTCGTCTGGCACATACAGCCGGATGGAACAAAGAAAGTTTATTCTGATGCTCGGACGCTCATTCAGGATAAAAAGACTCAGCAGCGCTCCGAGTCGGCATCAACATCAACCTTTCGAGACAGCTTCAATGTCACATCAGGGAGGCACTCGAGAACAAACAATGACAGCCGGACGAGCGAGGTTTCCACTCGATCCGGCCATCATATCATCCAACCGGCATTGCATGGGACACCATACATGCCTTTTGGATCTCCATATTCACAATCGGGTCTTTTCGGGGGGCAGCAGCAGCCGCCTGTCCAGCCTATGGACTGGCAGCTCCAGCTGCTCAACCTTGGGGAACAGCCAACGACGTTTTCCAGGGAAATCACCGAGATGGCCTAGCCGTCAAAAATTAAAAACGTGTTGGTGGGTGCCTATGACGATACCACCAACCTGGAAGATCACCTCATGGCATACACCAACCTGATGTATTTGCAGGGTTTGGATGATGCCTCATGGTGTAGGGGCTTCCCGGCAACGTTGAAAGGGATTGCTCAACGTTGGTTTGGCAACCTCCTAGCCGGATGCATCAATAATTTCAGGACGTTGGCCTACTGGTTTACGTCCAACTTTTCTATGAATATTCCAGCCAAGAAAACAAGTCTTGATCTAGGGGCAATTCAGCAGGGAGATAAGGAAGGGCTCCGGTCATATGTCAGGCGGTTTAACCTGATGAGGATCCAAATCCATGGATTGTCTGATGACGTTGCCTACACTGATTTATTTAAAGGCCTAAAAGATAGGTCAACTTTTAAGTTTGCTTGGTTAGGAAGAGGGTCTCTACTCTTCACGAGGCGCTTATGAAGGCGGAGGCTTAGATTCAAGCAATAGAACTTTGTGCTGTGAAACTTCCAACGGATTACAAAAGATCCGACAAAAAAGAGAATCGGCCTACCCAGCTGGCCAAAAAGGAAGAAAATAAGAGAAAGGGGGTATGGGCAGCAGACCCATCCGGACAACCTTTCTAGAAAAGAAAGAGGTCGGATCTGTATGTGCCAAAGTATAAATTCAACAAGGATTGTGCCTCCATTCTTAAAGAAGTAACGGACCGGTTGAATCTTGAAAAACCGGCTCCCATGAAGAGTCCCGTGAGCACCCGGGATAAGAGCAAATATTGTCTTTTTCATGAAGAAATTGGCCATGATACTGAGGGCTGTTTTAGCCTCAGGCGGCTCTTTGACCAGCTCGCTAATGAAGGGGCTCTCAAGTCCTATTTATCCAAGTCAAAGGATGCTCCCAAACAAGTAAAAGGACCACCCCCAATTTCACCGGCTGATCAATCGGATACGGAAGAGGATACCATCCTAACCATAGCCGGTGGATTTGCGGGAGGTGGGCCTACCATCCGGAACACGAAGGATAACATTAGGAAACTGGTCAACTCAGTGGATGAGGGCCAGTCGTCTAAATATTCATTTCCGAAAGTTAACATCTCCGAGAAAGATAGAGGAGAGGTCAGGCGGCCTCATGATGACCCCATAGTCATCGAGTGAAAAATCGCCAATCAACGAGTTGGCCGGATCTTAATTGATACTGGGAGCTCATCTGACCTCATAAGCTACCGGTGCTTGGAAAAACTTAAGTACAAGCCCAGTAGCATGCATCCAGCCTCATACCCTCTTATTGGTTTTGGGGGAGGAGTAGTACATCCGGTGGGTATGATTAATCTACCCATCCGGTTCGGAGAAAAGGGAAAGGGCCGGCACATGGTTTTCAAGTTTCTTGTTGTAGGAGAGTTGACTGCCTACAACTTGATTATTGGCCGCCCAACCCTTAACATCTCAAAAGCAGTTATCATCCCATCTCTAATGTTGATTAAGTTTGAAAGGGATGATGGCACAGTCGGTTCCTTGAGTGGGGACCAAAAGATGGCGAGAGAGTGTTACCTCTCGGAAATCAAACCAACGCTTGACACAGACGGTCAAGAGAAAGAAATAGTTGAACTTGACGACTGTAATCAAAGCTCACCGGCTATTAAGCCAGCCGGTAAAAAGAGAAAGGCGGACCAAATGACGCCTGTAAAGGAGAAACAATAGCAATCACTGTCAGGGGAGAGGCCAGACGGCCTTCGTCCCCAACCGGCTGGAGAAATAATTGACATTGTCCTTGAAGACAGCCGGCCAGACAGAACCGTCAAGATTGGGACGGTTGCTTTTGAAAACTTGGGACCCGACTTGCTTCTTTTGCTGAAGGAGTTCAAAGATGTGTTTGCCTTTGAAGTAGAAGAGATGCCGGGTGTAAGTCCGGATCTTGCTGTTCATAAACTTGCTGTGGATCCTAAGAAGAAGCCGGTCAGGCAAAAGAAAAGGAACCATGGCGAGGAAAGGTCCCAGGCGGCAGCATCTAAGGTCAAGAAACTCTTAGATGCTGGGTTCATCCGACAATGCTACTACCCAGATTGGGTAGCCAATGTTGTCCTCGTGAAAAAAGCCGAATGGAACCTGGCGGATGTGCGTAGATTACATGGACTTAAACAGAGCTTGTCCAAAAGATAGCTACCCGCTTCCAAAAATAGATCATTTGGTAGACTCTACAGCCGGTCATGCCCTGATGAGTTTTATGGATGCCTACTCCGGCTTCCATCAGATACCCTTGTGGAAGAAAGACCAAGAAAAGATGGCTTTCGTCACAGATCAAGGGCTATACTGCTACACGGTGATGCCGTTTGGGTTGAAGAATGCGCCTGCCACTTTCCAACGAAAGATGAACTCGGTCTTTTATGATCAGATTGGAAGGAATGTGGAGGCGTACATCGATGACATGATAGTCAAGTCAAAACTACAGGCGGATCATCTAGCTGACCTCCGAGAAACCTTCACCACCCTCAGGCGGCATGAAGTCATGCTTAACCCGAAAAAATGCGTCTTTGGAGTTAAGTTTGGGAAGTTTCTCGGATTTTTGATTGATTAGAGAGGCATAGAGGCCAATCCGTACAAAGTACAGGCGGTGATTGACATGCAGTCGCCTCGTACCATCAGGGAGGCTCAAAAGCTAACCAATTGCCTGGCGGCATTGGGGAGATTCCTCAGCCGGTCAGGTGACAAGTGCCTTTACTTTTTTCAAGCAATCAAAAAGAGGTCAAGATTTGAATGGGGTGAAGAGACTGAGGCGGCATTCCAGAGGCTGAAACAACACTTGCATTCTTTGCCAAGATTAGTGAGTCCCCTACCCCAAGAGGCTCTCTATATGTACTTAGCCGTCTCAGATCATTCCCTAAGTGTCGTTCTCCTTGCTGAGAGAGACGGCAACCAGCTCCCGGTCTACTTTATAAGCCATGTCCTCCGGAATGCTGAACTTTGCTATCCCATGATCGAAAAATTCGGCC